GACTTACACCATTCTCACACCTTTTCCTGTTTATAGCAAAATCGTGGAGTGATAATTTACAGAAAGCTCTTCTCAGGTCTCTATCCTTTAGCGATGTTATATATATTTCTGGTTGTAGAAGGGATAACTTCACTTGTTTATAGTGCTCAAGAAAAGATGACTTATTGATTGAATAATGCCAGTCTTGTAAGTATATATCAATTAGGTGCTGCTTGAAAGTGTAAAGAAACTGTTTCGGATCACCAACATCTTGAGCCAGCCAGACATAGGAATATCCAGTTACAAACAATAAACTTCGTACATTAGACGCCCAAGTGTCTTCCATCCTCGTCCAATTGTGTCAACATTAAATTGTGTGGATATCTCTGTGTGTCTTGTCTTAGAAGACGAAGCCAATATTTAATTACTTTACACTCTTTTCACTCTTTTAGGGCATATACATGTAACAAAATGAATGGCTTTAACACATTGTACCCATGTGGGGAATCAAACCCAGGTCTTCTGTGACGAGTAAACACTTAACAACTAGGCTACCCCACACACCCACCCCTACAATCGAACAACTAATATGACAGTTAATCTAAGCACTACAAGATGAGGAGTTCTATCTAATCCCTCTCACTCTGATTACAAGAGTAGCTATTGAGCTATTACTACAATACCATAGAAATGGGATTCACAACTTGGTATTTCTATGTCGAGTACAAATGAAATAACTGTCAAAGTCAAACTTGTTGTAATGGAAAGAGATTATTTTTAATCCTAAATAGCAAAATGCACCACTTTAGCCCCTTGTAAATACATATGCCAAGTTTGGATGGCAAATATTAAAAACCTCTTTGTTCTTATCTGGGACAACACCTAAATAGGTTTCAGCTAAGTCTAATTTGTTTCCATGGAAACAGGCAAAAACATAAATGCAAAAAATCCTCAAAAAGCCAAGGTCCTACTTCAGGATCTGTTTGATATATCTACCAAGTTGTAAGATACTGGACAGTTTTTTAGTTGTGCTTTGGAAACGACTGACTGACTGACTGAGTTTAGTTTTACGCCGCTTTTAGCAATATTCCAGCAATATCACGGCGGAGGACACCAGAAATGGGCTTAACACATTGTGCCCATGTGGGGAATCGAACCCGGGTCTTCGGCGTGACGAGCCAACGCTTTAACCACTAGGCTACCCCACCGCCCCGCTTTGGAAACGAATAACTGTGTATAAATTGTTTTCATAAACAGGGTTAAATGCCAAAGATCTGTAAATAGCGAAAGAAACTACTTCAAGACCTGTATGATAGATCTGCCAATTTTTTATGGAAAATATGGAACAGTTTTTGAGTTCTACTCCAGAAAAAATGACTATGGACAGGTGGTCAGAAGAGGCATGGACTACATCCCGACATTATAGATTAATTAAATCCAGCGACAAAAGTATTTTTAAAAAGTTCAAACAATTCATCATATGGTATAAAACAAGAGAAATACATTATACAAAATGTGACGAGTAATTTGCATATTTGTACATTAAAAAGCTATGATCAATAACATATTTCACACATGGGTGAACGAGATAATAGACAATTCAATAACCTGTTTATTTGAATTACAAACTCAAGTATTACATTAGGTAATGCCTTCATTTTGTAGCTATGTTTCCATTTCCGTTTCAAACATGTACAAAAACAGCAATAGGACATAAGTTTTGTTATGTAAATAATGTTCACATATACAGGAGTTTATCAAAAGTACATAAATTTTATGGTCTAATTCAGAAATGCAGATAAACAGCACATTGTTTTGCTGGATCTTTTACCCATCATGGCATCCAACAGAATGAAAGCTTTGACAACACTGGTTGAATTTACAAAATTATAGCATCGTACATTCAAACACTGTGGTGTCAATGATGAAGGGACCTATGTACACATATTGAGATATCAAACATTCATACTTAAGTTTCAATCGATTTTGCTATAAATGTACATCTCTTCTTTGCAGGAACATCTGATCCAGCTATCCTCCCTTGAAACCAGGCCTTTTCCTGTGTCGGTGAATTGTGTTGGTAACTAGTCACGCAGTATATGAAATAAGCCAAAAATCCAGCCAGACATCAGGGCTGGTAACTTCAAAATGTTACCAGCCCAAAATGGATTTAACCAGACCAAATATGGTGAATTTACTCAGATTATGGAACATCTAATACTTTTACCAGACCATCGGGCTGGCAAGCTGTAAATTTAGACCGTCTGTCAGAAATTTAGACCATCTCGGGCGGTCGGACAGGCCTTATTTCATACACTGTGTCACGATATAGTTGAAATACCACCGATGTGACTTAAAATCTTAATTCACTCACTCACTCATGCTGCTAACAGCTGCTATTGATTCCTTTTGGTAGCCATCCTTCACTTTTACACCAGTGAAACATCAGCACTAATACCCATCAATAACTATTGCACAAGTTGATATAACAAACACATGACAGTCACATGACAGTCACATGACACCATTCAATTCTGCACCTGTTGTTGATTAAACGGAACGTTAATCTCGATCAACACTTCGAAAATCAGTATTATCACTAATCAGCGCTTATTATTATCCCCCTTGCTCTCCTGCAGTCAAATCGTATCAGCCCTAATACCTGTCAGTGTTAATTTACACCTGGAGTCCATGTTTTCATTTGTCCATTGGTATTACCAAATTACTACCAATTAACTCCTGGCTTCCTGTGTTATATTATCATATTTGATGTTCTCACATATATAACCCGTGAAGGAATGGGTTAGAATTGGTCTTCAGTAACCCATACTTGTCGTAATAGGCGACTAACGGGATCGGGTGGTCAGGCTCGCTGATTGGGTTGACAACATGTCATCGTATCCCAATTGCGTAGATCGATGTTCATGCTGTTGATCCCTGGATTGTCTGGTCCAGACTCGATTATTTACAGGCAGACACCATATAGGTGGAATACTGCTGAGTGTGGCGTAAAACTAAACTCACTCAGTCACTCTCATATATTTACAAAAACTAAATGACGTGACATGCCCGTGTGCGAAATATGCATTATGTCGGAAAGTGCACATTAAATCTCCAAATCATAATCATCATCAACATCATCATTGTATATTTACATAAGTTCTCTGCTCCCTAGCTGTCATTCACCTCATAAAGGTTAGAATATACTCAAAATGCCTTGATGGGGCGGTGGGGTAGCCTAGTGGTTAAAGTGTTTGCTAGTCACGCCAAAGACCCAGGTTTGATTCCCCACATGGGTACAATGTGTGAAGCCCATTCTGGTGTCCCCTGACGTGATATTGCTGGAATATTGCTGAGCGTGACGTGAAGCCCATTCTGGTGTCCCCTGACGTGATATTGCTGGAATATTGCTGAGCGTGACGTGAAGCCCATTCTGGTGTCCCCTGACGTGATATTACTGGAATATTGCTAAAGCAGAGTAAACCTCACTCACTGACTTACAAAATGCCTTGTCCCTCATAACACAGAAGCTGGCATCCTTTAATTTCATCCTTTATGTATCTTCATCAAGCAGGGAATACACAATGCCTTTTCCAAAACTTGCCTCAAATATAACATGTTATACATGTTAATGCCACTCACAGATTTTATCAAATAAATGTTTCTATAAAACTGGATGTGACAGAGTGTAGCCAATAAGACAAAAGGCCTTTAGATGCTGAACTCAGTGCAGTAGAGATTTCCAGTTTGTTATTCCCTGTTAACTGGCCTGTGAGGCCAATGAGACGTGTCAGGATTGTCTTATCAGAGAAAATTTGTGCTGGAAAAATGTGTTTGGGACTGGAAAATATATTTGAGATAACAGTAACTACTCATCAGATTTGACACATCAGGGGTTACATAACAACATCAGGGATTACATAACGATGTCTAAAAAAGGAATACAAATGGACCAAGCTTTCACTTCAAGACAACAGTACCTTTAACTTACTAAAATTTCAACTATTTTCAATTCCTTAAGTTTGGCTTTGATAATCTCCCCATGCAAATTCTGAAAAAGCGAGGATATTGCATAAACTGATAGATTTCTCACAATACTAGAAAGTGCGACACATTGTGAAATGGGAAGTTTTTTTACATTTCAAACAAGTAAACTTTTCCAAGCACAACATTTTTTTTCACACCTAATCTGTATTTGCTTGATTTCATCTGGACTTTGTGTATTAGAAACAAATATAAGTATCCATTTGATGCTTCCCAGAATGAGCAATTCTCAGAAGTTTGTTTCTCAGATGAGTGCGAAGTATATGCTATATCAAAACTGTCTCACAACCAGCCATAATGCAAAAAATAATTTTGTAACATAAAATGTCTTCTTGCAAATTTTCTAAAATATGCTCAATGATTCTATTGTTATTGACATGATCACAAAACATTCAGTTTTGATTTGATAGATCCCAGCTGCTCCAGATCACTAGTGTGTAATTTTGCAATTAACTGCTAAGTGTAACTACCCAATATTTAGATTGCAAAACATACATGAAATAACACCATGAATTCATCACAACATATCAGCTTCATGTGAGAGGATGCAGGTCTTAACACACTGCCACTTCGGTGAAACGTACATGTACAGGTGAGGTCCTGACAAAACTTCAAACTGAGAGTTGATGAGGAGAGACTAACATGTCTCTATAGCCTCCAGGGATTAATAGTCACATATTACTGAGCATTATACAACAAACAAAACAACCATAAACCAGCATGACATGATTATGACATATTTCAACATAAGAAGCACTATCAACAGAGTAAAATACTTATTCAACTTACACATGTGAGAGATACCTGTCTCTCACTGGCCCCCCTCGGTTTTGAGTTGAGCAGCAACCTGAAGGGAAATCTGGCCTGGATACAGCCATGATAACTTGTCGACTTGACTGTGTGTTAACACTGCTTCAATACGGATAATCTGTATATCTGAACCTACTGGTGCAACTGCTGTCATCAGGACTACTTACCCTATGTAACTCTTCCGCATTTGGAGGGTCTGCTTGTACGACAGTGGTTTGTCAAACACATGCATCATATGGCGGAGTCTCCTGTAATAAACTACACTTGCTCAACACTCACATTAATTCAAGTTGTTGTTTTGACAAGACATATGACAAGACTTTCTAAAATACAATGTGAGCGTTTACATGCTCTGTACTCAGACCATCATCGACTGTAAAAGTCTCATGGCTCTTCCACTTTATATAATGTGTTCATGCAGATCAATGAGTGTTACACTGTCCTTGACCCTACAGTTCTAAAAATACATTTACTTGATTAACAACAGATTGGTGCACAGACAAACATTGTCATTATCTAATGACTTGAATAAAGTGACTTTAGAGATTAGTATTACACCTGTTCACATGCTGATGTCACACACTGTTGCAATTTTGACGGGTGTGTTTCACACAATCAATTGTAAGAAGTTAACTTGATGAAATTTTAGAAAAGCTGAATTTGCATCTAAACTGTTATTACAACCATCCTTTTCTACCATGTCATTAGAATCAACAATAAGCTAACTCAGAGAGATTCTACTATACATGTTGTTACGCATCAATGAAGATGTCACAACAGCCTTGCCCCTACAGCTCAAGGAATGCATACAGTTGATTCACAACAAACGGGTACAGTGACAGCATATAATTTTTCGACATTGAGGTTGCATAACATTTTACAAAGACATATGAAAAGGTGAACGTGGGTGAAAGTGCATGTTAACTTGGGAAGTAAGGAGGCTTATCGATCTGTTTTATACAACTGATCAGAGATTTAGGTCACATTCGTCGGTTGACGTGTGCACTGTGCTTGTTGATATCACCACGTAAGAAGTTTATTTGACGAAATATAAATAAATACAAAATTGCAACCATGCTGTAATTATAACCAACCTTTCAAGTCATGTCACTAGAGTCAGTGGTGACAGTGCCAGATTGTCCGCTTTACACATTAGGCGAGCGAGTGTCTCTCACACCCAAGAGAATGAACTCAGGGGTCCACCTCAAGTCTAGAATACTTGGGCAAGTCTAGATTGCCTTTGCTCCAGCCCCATCATTTATAATTGTTCTGGACTCCATTGGATCGTAGTTATATAGTTTTGTATATACACATATTTATCTAAATACGATAACTTTATTTCTGGGAGTAAACGCCTGTCTAATGGCGAATATAATGTCTATACACCCAGTACAGTACTGTTGGAGCTCTCACGGTTGGAGTCAATAAAGTCTCGCTTCCGCTCCGAGCTCCACGCATAATCAATAGATGTCGCTCGATCTCGGTGGAGCGTGAGATTTTGCAGCATATTTAAGTTCAGTCGCTTTCTCACATATGTATCTACTAGTCCATGTTTTATGTAAAACTAAAACCTGTCTCTTGGAATGGTAATAAAACCATAGCGTGGATTTACTCCATGTATGGGTGTGCGCTTCCAACACGATTGAGCCTGCTTGTGCCACGACTGTGTGGACGATGTATATTGACAGCGATACCTAACCTCACAAAACACCAATACTGCAGTACAGGTAATGACCTAGCATCGATACTACACGACAAGTAAACAGTAGTCCGGAATCTTATATATATATATAATTGATAAATGTCAAAAGAAATCAATTTCTTATCTTACCAAATACGATAACGACAATGTACTGTCGTCAACGACACGTACAGTACATACGTACGTTGGGCAATCCAATTTCCAAATGGCTTACGGAGCAAAGGTGTGCTGAACTATGAGGCTTTTATATGTCCAGGTGTAAATTCGACCCCTGGTTATGGATGGAAATAGCATGTCAACTGAAGAGAGCTTTACAGGTTGTGATACGTGTTGCCATACAATTTACATGTGTTAATAAATATGTTTAAAGTGTTAATAAATATGTTTAAACTGAACTAGCCTGAATCTGAAACTTGATTCTGACTTTATTGGCTATTGCTAATTTGACCGATAACAATTTTCTTAAACGTTTAAATATTTATATACAAAATTATTAAGTATTTATATGCATGGATAGTTATTAGGATCAGATGATTCTCCTTTTCTCAAGAAAGTAACTATATAGTATTCCAACTGCGTTTGAAACAACTATGAAGAAGTACAATGAATATAATCTTAAAAGATGGTATCAGTATTAAAATGGTACCAGTTTTTAATACCGTATTTCTTCTAATAAGTACCATGGCGCTTATTAATTCAACAAACTCTCAGACCCGGCGCTTAATAGGGACCGACGCTTACTGGAGACCCGGCGCTGAAAGTTTCAACGGAAATAAACATAGATTCTCCATTGGTATTTTATTTGAAAACTCCATTGTAAACATGTGGCACAACCGGTGCTTACTGGAGACCCGGCGCTAATTGGAGACCCGGCGCTAATTGGTGATCCGGCGCTAATTGGAGACCCGGCGCTAATTGGTGATCCGGCGCTTATTTCTTGAACAGTTGCTATACCCCCGTCGCTTATCACAGGCCGGCGCTTATCACAGGAAATACGGTACATTCAGGAGGTAGACCATCTGTGACCGGAGGATTTGCCATCCTTTAATGAATTAACAGTCTTGGCAATCTCCTTTGAGATACCACACACGACTTTTTACAATTTCTTCAATATAAAGGATCGTAATGAAATAAGGAACAGAAAAATACAGATTGAAGATCTTCACTTCAGTGATTTTACACCTTTACCAAATATTCAAACCAAACATGGAGGTTTATACACGAGATATATCATTGCATGTAACAGAGATTCAACATTTCTCCGAAATACTTCACAATCCTTTTACCATTAGCATTTAATATCATTCATGAGACGGTGTGTATACTGCTGACGTTTATCATTTGTAGCTTTACGAAAATGTGTGTGTCTCACTCTCAGGAATTATTTGAGAGAGGGCAACATATTTACTATTCAGTCACTGTGTCAAAAATATTCAAGAGAAGCTGAACAAAGTTTTTAAGAGTCATTACTTGATATTGGTAAAAAGGCAAAAGTTCTTTTATGTTTTGCATGATAGTGTTATTGGTGGGAAGATATTTAATATTTTGAGAAATGTATTCAAAGGTAACACTTGTCACTTATTCAAATATTTATATAGTATGCTGATTTACACCTTATACAGACGTTTTTCTATTTTGTATGTCCACAAACGCAAATTATATTGAAGTCAGCTGTGAGATTGCATGGAAAATGCAACTGTGTCAGTGTTCTAGGGAAAAATCTGCCTGAAAGCTTGTCTGTGATGCCATAATGTCATCCAGTTAATACTTCACATTGTTTTAATATTACACGTCAGTGAACGAGTATAGAGGTTTTAGTCAGCGTTTGGCATTTTCCAGCATAACTTCGGCGGTTGTCACCATGTAGAAATTACACCTTCCCTCTACACTGAAGGTGTTGAACGTCGACACGTCAAGGGGTAGATTTAATATACGGCGTCTTGGACGTAAACGAGATTCAGTGGCAGAGTTATGCTGATTGTGACATCACGGTAACCGATGACGTCACAATAGTCTGCAAAACATTTTGTCATGGCAACCGAGAGATGTTTCCGTGGAAGCCACTTATAATTATAGCTGACAAATTGAGTTATCTGCTTTCACACTTACACCCGCCGGGGTTCCATGCTTATTGTCAAGTCCTTGGATATCCGGAGGGCACAATAACTGTAACATGAAAATGTATATTATAACAGAAAAAAATAAACATATGTACTCTCTCTCTCTCTCTCTCTCTCTCTCTCTCTCTCTCTCTCTCTCTCTCTCTCTCTCTCTCTCTCTCTCTCTCTCTCTCTCTCTCTCTCTCTCTCTCTCTCTCTCTCTCTCTCTCTCTCTCTCTCCTTGTTTTAGAAGCCTTTGAAGAAATATTCGCCAAAACGTCACCAAGAAAACATGCAAAGCAAAATGTACATACAAGTAAACGGAAAAACATACAGTATCGATCAAAAGGCTATTTATAGAGTGTGTGTACAAAACCATAGCTAGTAACAAGAAACAGAGCAGAAAGCCCTAAAAAGGGTGGTGTAACATCTCAATTTACAATGTCAATATCTCAATATCGGGTGTGACCACCACTGAAAACCACCCATGGGATGCGTCTCCAAGATTTGTCCACCTGCACTAGCGTAACTGGCGAGTTCTGTCCCTATCGTAGGCATAGTTTCATCTAATCCCAAACATGTTCTATACAGAAGATATCTGTACAAATCTACTGGATAAAAGACTACAATCTTGGTGTGACAACAATGATATTATCCATGAATGTCAAGCTTGCTTCAGGTCTGGGTATTCAGCCACTGACCACATCTTCAGCTTACGGGCAATAGCACAGAAGTTCCTCTCTAAATGTAAAGGTAGATTCTACTGCCTCTTCATTGACTTCACCAAGGCGTTTGCTAGGGCTGATCATGAAGTTCTATTGAGCATTTTGAGGAAAGTAGGTCTCAAGGGGAATTTTATTAAACTCCTCACATCAATGTACTCTAATCTATCAGCATGTGTGAGATCGTCAACCGGCTTGTCTGAGTATTTTAAATGCAACATAGGAACCCGCCAGGGATGTCTAATATTGACCATAATACACGTAAATGAACTGATATATCAAGTTGAACAGAAAGATGGAGAAGAAATATTTATAACAACAGATTCCCCCAATTATGATGTTCTTCAAAAACTTTCATGGAGTAAAACATTCAGCTGTCTTACTGCACAAGCCAAGGCCATGTTCAATATCATTACTTTCCAAAAGAAGTTAAAAAAACGGGTTATGAAGATAATTTTAAAGTGTTTGAAAGTTTGATTGTTCCAATATTATGTTATGGGGCCGAGATCTGGGGAACTTCATATAACAAGCTGATTGAAAGTATCCACGCATAATGCTGTAAATGATTTCTCAGACTTACTAAAAATACTCCAAGTAACATGGAACTCAGGGAGAGTGGCATACTCCCCCTTCCACATATCTACAGGACAAGAGAAATAAAATACTGGACATGAATAATTCACCTTGGACACGACAGACTACCTCACCAGGCATATAAGATGCTCAAAACACTTGATAATGTTGAAAGATATTCATGGGCTACCTCAATTAAGAACATCTTTCGTTTAGGTTTTGGTACAGTATAGTTCCAACAAAATTTTGGTGATGTTGAATTATTTCTTCGAGAATTTAGAGTCTTCGAGACTCTCATATAATCTCTGTCAAGACTGGCACTCCTCCCTGGTATTTACCTCTAAATGTGAATTTTATCATTAATATAAGTCTTTACTTAACGTCTAATCATATATAAGAAATGGCATTCCACAGTATTTAAAATATTATATATCAAAATTCAGATGTAACCATTTTAGACGTAAAGTTGGAACTGGAAGACACAACAATATACCCCATGAAGAAAGAAACTGTGATTACTGTTTAAAGAAATATATAAAGACTGTGGAAAATGAATACCATGTACTTTTGACATGTAAAAAATTATCTCATCTAAGAAGAACATATTTACCAGCTCGCTTTACAGACTACCTAACAACTTCTAACTTCATACACTTGATCTACTGAAACAGATGTACCATATAGACGTGGACTCCATCTCTCAAAGTATTCACTATAAGCCTTCTTCGGAAGCTTAAACTTAATACATGCAGGGTAATATGTTCGTAATTTATCATGTATTACGGGCCTATGGCCTCTTTACAGAATAAATTTGTCTGTTTGTCTGTCTGTCTGTCTGCCTGTCTGATATCTGGAGAAACAGCCGGTCATGATAGTACGGCCATGATACGATGCCTCAAATAGTCTCTTTCAACGCGTGTAACGCGTGGGCGGGCATTGTCAACGTGACCTTACGTTCCAGCATTTCTACATGGAACACAACACGACCATCGATTTTGTAGACATGCATCAACCGAATATGGAGGTCTTCTTGACCTGACGTCACACATGGACGATCCACCCTAGGAAAATTGTTAACGTTGTCGTGCATTCTAAGATGCATAACGGAAATACGCCATTCTCGTCTGCCCCCTCGTAATTAAACATACTCTTAGTACCGACGTCACGATTCACGTCATCGCCTCATACACCCTCCTACAGTAAACTACTCCG